AGCCCAGCCGCCTCCCTCCGGAGCCAGTGCCTGGAGTCTCAGAAAGCAGCCTCAGGACCGCCCGGGCCGCTGGCGGGAAGCCCAGAGCACGTCCCCTGGGGCAGAGGCGCAGGGCGGCACCACACGGCTCCGACAGCCTGGGGGTGGCAGATTCCAACAGTTGCAGCGCGGTTGGGAAGGAAAATGCTCCTGCCCTGGCAGGTGTGTGTTCCCCCCCCCCCGTGCTGGCTCTGGAGCAGGGCTTGTCAACAGACGGTTCCCAGGGGCTGCACAAAGGAGGGCCCTATCAGTTGCCATGGTTTAGAGAGGGGAAACTGAGGCAGGGAGAGGTGAAGTGACTTGTTGGCGCTCACCCAACAGGCTGGTGGGAGTGCTAGAAATAAAGCCCAGCTCACCTGAGTTTATTTTAGGTCACACTGACTCTGGCGCTGCATGTTTTAGCAAGCCTTTCAGTGCATGCCTGTCGGAGATCTTTCTACAGCACCAAAGCACAGCAATCATGACTCAGTGCACTGTTATATTAACTTTGAACAGATAACTGGCACCAGAGGGCCAGGGATCCAGTGGCATTCTCTGTGACTATACTTTGATTTGTTAGCATTGCTGTTTTTTGGTGATTTATCTCAACTCCTACTTTTTCCTGCCAGTGACTTACCTATTTAATACAAGCAGCTCATTAATTAGAGAGAGCTAGCACTTTTGGCCCACTGCATCTTTAGTTTCCACCACTGCTTTTGTTCATCCAGACTAACAAGTTTTAGGCAAGAAGTGATGGTTGGATAACCACGTAGCCTCCAGCCCATTAACAAATATATTTGGAATAGCACAGAGGAAACATTTCTATAGAAATATCTCGGAGAGTGAACTGAGGGGGGTGAGCAATATTTTCAGGGGAAGGGTGTGCTGACAAGGAATAAAAGCCTAATAGGAAAGTGTCCAGGAGTAGCAGAAGGAGAAGGTGACCATATGTGAAATAGCTCCTATGAAGTGGGCTACTGATTCCTTAAAATTTCCACTCTTCAGAGCAGGGCTGTCCCTAGCGTGGCATGAATCCTGAGACAACCCTTCTCCCAGTGCCCCAGGTATGAGGCCCAGGAAAAGTCCCAAGCTGCAGACCTTGTCCTGCCCCCGCTCTACCCCTCCCCCAAGCCCTGTCCCTGCCCCACTCTCTTGTCATAGATTCATCCCTCAATCCAGGGGATTACCTCAGAGCCTGGTGCAGAGAGCAGCAAGGGTCAGCTCCCCTCACTTACGCTGGCAAAAGGAGCTGGAGTGGCCTGGCAGCCCTCTTCCAGCCTGCTGTGCTCCACATTTCCACAGCGGTGGGAAGATGAGCGCACTGAGAAGAGGGTGATGGGGCAGAGTGGAGTAGACTGCCGGGTTGCTTTGGCTCTGGCTCTGGGAGGGGTATCCCCAACTCCTGCTGCTGCCTTGTGCCAGGTCCCCAGGTAATCCCCCAGGCCACCCTCAGACTCATCCACCATAGGAGCCCCCAAAGCACTGGGCCTGGGGTGGCCATCCCAAACTGTCCTGTGAATATCTGATTCTGAGTATCATTCAAAGTCCAAAACCATAATAGAACTGGGGAGTAGGGTATATAATACTTGGCATACTGCATTCTGAAAGCACCTTATAAGTAACATTCATGCAAATGTATTGCAGCATGCAATTCACTAGGCAACTAAAGCCAAAAGCTGTGTCTACAGTGCAGGGTTTTTGTGCAAGAAGATTTTCTTGGAAGAGATCTTCCACAAAATCTTGCGTAAAAGCATGTCCACACTGATGTGCTTTTGTGCAAGAGAGCATCCACCCTGCATGGACGCTCTTGTGCAAGAAAGTTCTGATTGCCATTCACAGAATGGCCATCAGAGCACCTGTGCTTTTTCCGATAGGCTCTTTTTGCACAAGAAACCTCTGTTGCACATCCACACACACCTTTTTGCACAAGAGTTCTTGCATTATGCCTTGTAGAAGGAGGTATACCTACACCGCAAAAAACCCTCTGTTCTGTAGGTTGTAGATTTTCTTGTGCAAAAATGCGCTTGAGGTGTGGATGTGCTGCGGGTTTTTGTGCAAAAACCCTGTAGTGTAGACATAGCCAAAGAGTTTATTAGACCCTTACTATTAATAACAGGCAGTACAAAAGATGAAAAAGAGAGCCCTTGCCAGTGAGATCCAAAAGTGATGCCATGGTGATGTCGCACTTTTGCTCTAGGTGCTGGAAAAGGCATCTATCACAGTGCTGTCTTCAATCTCCATCTTTTCCTGGTTAATCAAAGTCAGATTTGAAAGTGTTGAAAGTAAGTAGCTTACTTTCCACTTCTTCCACATTCATTTCTGGAAAGAGGGGGAATTGGAGTGCACCAGTACCCATAGCTTCCTTTTGCTTACGTTTGAGAGTGTTTGCCATTGTGAATAATTCGATTAACTAAATTTGCTCTTTATGGTTTTCCAAAGTAGCAGTAAGATGAAATCAGCATGCTTCTCGTCTTTTTCACTGCTACCCCATAGGGTTCTGAATAGAAAGAGTAGGAAGTAGGAAGAAAGTTTCAGAGGAGTAGCCATGTTAGTCTGTAAGTGAATAAACTTAAAAAAACAAAAAATAGTCTTGCAGTACCTTAGAGACTAATCAAAAAATGTAGATGGTATCATGAGCTTTCGTGGGCACAACCCACTTCTTCAGATGAATGGAGTTAAGGAGTCCAGGGGACAAATAAATAGCAGAAGAAGGAAAAATATATATTGTCAATTAGCATGTCCATGGTAAATGAGACTGATAGAATGGGTTCTAGGTACTCTTAAGTACCTGACGCTCAGCTTTTTATGTCATTAGAATGTAGAAAGTAGCAGGCCATCCAGGTAAGGTGTTTGTTTAAACTTCTATTGCAGGTGTCAAACTTGTAAATGAAATCAAGTTCTGCCGCTTCTCTTTCCATCTGGTTTTTGAAATTGCCTTGTAATAATATTGTCACTTTTAGATCCATTACTGAGTGCCCAGGCAAGTTAAAATGTTCCCCAATAGATTTCTCTGTGTTACTGTTTTGAATATCTGATTTGTGTCCGTTGTAGAGACTGTCCAGTTTGGCCAATATACATCGCACTTGATGGCATAGATCAATGGTCCCCAACCTTTAGAGGCTCCCGGGCGCCTGGGGGCGGGGCCACTCATGCGCCGGGCGCCCGAGGGGGTGGGGCCACTCATGCACCGGGCACCCGGGGGCGGGGCCACCCATACGCTGCACGCCCAGGGGCCGGGGCTGCCCATGCGCCGCACTCCTGGGGCCGGCGCCG